AGGTAAACTTTCCTAAGGTGTGGTCCGAGGACCGCACAGTAGTATAGGCGCGAAAATGTAAGGACAAAAACTACTCAACTACATGTTACAACATTCTCCCCACGAGGGGAACGACGGAAAAACTACGAACAACCAAATATCAACAAAACGAAAACGACTACGAACAACAACAGCAGCATCAATCCAACAATAAAAAAGATGGTAGTAACTCCTCAGGTGCGTTGGTTTGAATTGTGACGGCGAGAGCGACGGTCCTGAGTCCTTTCTCCTTCAGGCATGCATTGGCACAAAGCTGTGTGCAGACTAGGGCTATCACATTTAGTGCATCCCTTTTGTTTCTTGCAGTTGCCGTCGTGACATGGTTCTAGACAAGCCATACACAGACGGAGTACCGAGGCCCGTTTTAAGCGGGAGCTAGTGTTATCAAAGGAGCGGCAGACTGTAGAGTCGGGATGTTTTGAACAGAAGACGCAAACGGACGAAGTTGGATTGTGAGCCAGAGTTGCCTTCAGAGCACAAATTTCTTCTCGGAGGAGGTCTAGTGATGATGAAGTCGTCTGTTCTAACGAGCGAAGAGCGTTGATGATAGTCTTGGATTGTTCTGCAGCTGTTCGTACCGTTCTAGTCAAGTCTTCGATGGCCGTCTCCAGTGGTCTTGGAGATATCGAGTCAGGGGAGGATTCGCGTGACATGTGGTACTAGAAATAACATATGAAAGAAGTAAGATCAGCGGACAAGAAGTGGATAACGAGATAGTACAGAGGTGTCGACCGCCGCTCGCGAAGAGCGCAGAGCAGAATGAAGTTCTCACTGTTCTTCCAGCCGTAGTTCGAGAGGGATTAACGCCTCCGGAGGTCTTGCGTAAGTTTTACGATCGGGGTGGCGGACCACCACGCTTCTGATAACTCCATCGCTATCCTTCCGCAAGTCTGTGATTATCCCTAAGTGCCACTTGCGGCGGTCTTTGGTCATTTCTGTACAGAGTACAACTTCCCCTTTTTTGGGTACTTGTCCTCTGGAGTTAGCACCGACCGTATTTCTCTCTCTGAGAGCTTGTAGGTATTCTTCTGACCAGCATCTCCATAGTAGCGTGATGTGACGGTTCAGTTCTTTCCAAGCGAGGATTAGACTGTCTGGGCCGGACTTGACTGTTTCGGGTAGGGTGTAGGTACCCTTATCTCCGAGTGTACCTCTGTAAGGGAACAGGAAATGTCGTGGAGTGATAACTTCACCATGTTCCTCGTTCAACGGCGTAAGTGGCCTCGAGTTGACCAAGAGGGTGGCTTCGGCAATCAAAGTGTGGAACACAGAAAGGGATGTAATGTGACTTCCCATCTTCCTCAAAGCTGTCTTCAACAATCCTATCATGCGCTCATACATCCCTCCTTTCCAAGGGGATAAGGGGGTGATACAGAGGAAGGTAATGCGGTAGAGGTTGGCTAGATTTTGAAGAGGGGGGGGTAGCCCATCGTTACTGGAATCTTTGGTCAAACACCATCGTTTCAGTGCCACGTGAGAAGATAGATTATCCATATAAATGAAGGAAGGAACTCTATACAACGCGAAGAAGCGCCTCAGGGCCATTGCTAACTCCGCGGAGGAGGTGTCACAGAGCACTTCTACATGTATGGCACTCTGCATCGGATGAGAGATGGTTCATCATGCGTGGATGTTATTTAGGCCGGGGAGCCAAATTCTGTCGTATAAATGGATCGATATTTCTATTTCTTGTAGGAGAGCGAGAGCGAAAATCAC